TCTAACATGCTCGCGCGACCCTCTGCGGGGATCGGCGTGGTCGAGGTGTAAAAACCCATGGTTTTTTGCGATTTCTAAAGTTCCCGCGCGACCCTCTGCGGGGATCGGCGTGGTCGAGGTGCAAAAACTCGAGGTTTTTTGCGACTTTTGTTGCTCGAACTGGTCCTCGGGAGTTGTCTCGTGGTTCGCGCGCCTGCTCCCGGAACCGGCGGGTCGCGGGTTCGATTCCTCCCTGGTCCGCGGGCGGGCGTCGCAAGATGCAACTTGCATTTTAAAGCAACTTGCGCAGAGCAACTTGCGCAGAGCAAGTTGCACAGAGCAACTTGCGCAGACCAACTTGCACCGACCAGTTTGCGCAGAGCGCCTTGCCTAGAGCAACTTGCGCAGAGCAACTTACGCAGAGCAACTTGCACAGAGCAACTTGCACAGAGCAGCTTGCACAGAGCAACTTGCAGGGAGCGCAATTTGCACAGAGCAACTTGCAGGGAGCCACTTGCAGGGACCAACTTGCCGGAGCAACTTGCGCGGAGCAACTTGCGCAGAGCAACTTGCACAGTGCAACTTGCGTAGAGCAACTTGCGCAGACCAACTTGCACCGACCAGTTTGCGCAGAGCACCTTGCCTGGCGCTGTCTCGCGCTTGCTTCACGAATGCTTCGTGTAGGGAAAAAGAACGCATCCTGCAGCGTTGGGCCGACCTCGCTTGCGATGTTCTGCTTTCGGGCCAACCGTGGTCTAGTTTTTTTTGCGGGGGGCTCAAGCAAATGCAAGGTGAGTGCATGCAAACGCAAGTCCCTCATAAAAGCACATGATAGATGATCGTTTTAAATGTGTCTAGACACACGCAAAGCATCGATTGGGAAAGGATGGCTTTTGGATGCATTTGACTTGAAGTTTTGGAGCTTTAGAAATTGGTCTACTCAAGTTGAGGTCCATTGAGGTCTATTCAAAACCCAGCCGCCGATTGAGGTCTCCCGAGCTCGAGCTGCGGGGTGCACGATAAATCTCTGTATTGAACATTTTCCCTACAGTGGCTTTTGAACACCAACTTTTGGTGTTGTTCATGTTTGTTTTGAACGGGGTGCTTCGAATTGTCGGAGGGCCCAATTCTGGCAATGGCACACGTCTGCAAGTTGGCAGCATCCATTGCATCGGCTGGTTCATTTGATGGATCCGTCCTCGCATCCGCCTGCGATGGCGAAGAACGCTCTCATGGCCATCCCATCGAGCTTTACGGACACAGATGGGGGTGTCAACTAAACTTGGCGCCCCTGGTTTTGGGAGGGCAGTCAACGTTAGTGACCCCTTACAGCCAGCGGGAGACTGGGGCCCAGGAGCCAAAACAAATGACAACCCCCCGAAGTGGCGAAGGGGGCGAGTGGCGCTGTCCAAATTCAAATGCAACCTCGACATGAGACATGATAGGCTGTGGCACAAAATCGAATAGACAGGAGGCAGAAGGACTTCATAGGGATGAGCCTGTTCACCTCGCTCAACAGTCACTTGTCAAAGTAGCAGAGGACCCGTTTAGCTTGGTTGAAACGGAGACCAAAACGAAAGCCACCGGCCACGCTTACTTCCCCTATTTTGACACACACACACACGCATGTTTAACTGGTTTGTGACACTCAGATTCAGGTCCTGCTCAGCGTGAGCAACCGCTGCTTGCCTGGACGTCAGCAAGTTTGGGCGTTGGGCCGCTGGGTCGGCGCGGCATTTGATGGAATCTCTTTTAGTTTGCAGAGAAACAACACCTAATACCCTCCTACCAATCAACATGGAACCTGACAGGGGGTTCATTTAAAAGGAAAATGGTCTTCCAGGACCCCCTTATCAGGTTCCATGTTAATTGGTGGTTGGAAACCCAGTCCTTAGAATGGACACCCCTGCCATTGCGAAATTTGCCAAACTCCTGCTTCGATGTCATCTGTAAAAGTTGGTACCTGGTCGGGTCTCGATGCCATCCAGGTGGTCCATCTTGCTTCTTATCCCAAGCAACTGCCTGCAGGCCCACCTTGCCACGTGGATGAAGGCTTTCGGGCGCGCTCCGGATTGAGGGCTGCGTCGCCAAAGTCCCAAAAAGAGCACCAATCCCCCAACGTACGCATGAATCCAGCACCAGAAGTCTGAAGCTAATCCAGAAGCAGTTCTTGTGGCTGAGTTCCAATTCCTTGCACTGGAAGGGTCACATGAATTCAAGCTGGGGAACATGTGTTCTGGATAGCGTTAGGGGTGTTTCTTTGGGCGCTCGTGTCAACAGGAGCCATGACCATGGCACACATTTGTGCGTGTGTGCTAGGAACCAGTGCTGAGGGAATATGGGAATATCCAGAAGAACGTAGCACCATGTTCACCAATTCCCAGGATCTGCTGATGTCCTTTATATATACATATACTAATATGTATATATATATATTTGTTTTCCCCTCAGCGAGTCGGTCGTTTCAGTGGTGTTTGATGGGTTGAGGTTGGGGCCCTATGGGCAAGTACGTGCCCTTGTACATCATCACGCTGGTGGGCGTGGCCTGCGTCGTGCCGCGGTTGCAAACGTGAAGAAACCGGTTCGCCGTTCTGCGACGAGCGGCCAAGGGACTGCTGTGTTTTATGCTTCGGATCATGGACCCTTAGGCAATTTCGGGGTTTCCGAGCCATTTCCCTTTTTGGAACCACCAACAGTGGCAGGTTCAAGGGAAAGCACGAATGAATTGCAACGTTTCAAGGGGAAGTCCAGACCCTAGAATTCGGACTGAAGATTCGGGAGGCCGTGACTATAACCCACAAAAGGCGTTTGACGCATGACTAAACCCGAGTAATCGCTTCCCCCTAATGCAGGCGAAAAGAAGAACGCAATTGTAACTGGCCAAGTAAAGAATCCCTGCGGAATCGCTCAAGGCATCGTAATGGATTTGTCAATTCACAACTAGAAGGCATGAACAAGTGTCGCAGAGAATCCTGGAAAGACTGCAGTTGTGGGAAACTCGTTGGTTTGGATTTGGCTTGGCATTGCCTGGGAAGATAATATCAAATAGTAGGGTGCATTTATATTTCAGGCACTCCCAAGAAGATCTGAAACAGGCGGATATGCAGCGCACTTGGTGCAATTGATTTGTGCTTTGCACTTCAGATGTGGCTTGATTTTCGACAACAAGGGGACCTTTCAAACATGGTGGGCACGAATCCCGATGCGAATGCTGCCCCCCCCCAATTAGAGTGTTCACCGGATGGCGCATGGCTTCTAAATGGAACAATTTGCAGGATTTTTGTGCGCATCCAGTGTGCGTTTGTAGGCGGTGTCAATGCCCGGCCTGCGCATCATCAACGAGCGCACCGCGAGGACGGTCACGTCGAATGGCTGCGAGGAGGATTGCCAGAGCCGGAGCGCGCCCCTGGTGGAGAACTGACGGGGCCAACCACTGGCCCATGTCCAATCTGGGTGCGTCTTTTTTTGGAGTGGGTGCCGCGTTTTGGGTGGATTTAAAGGACAACCAATAGGAACCGTAGGAACGCCACCATTTTGAGCGTCCCAGAAAAGAAAGATACACACATGTCTTCAATTTACTCCAATCGAAAGGTTGAGCTTGCCAGACTGCCCCTATATGTCACTTACTTATAGCTTACCCTCACAACTGGCTCCATGCAGTGGATTCAGTTTTCGGATGTGCCAAAGTGCTGCCGTCCGCTTTGCCAAAGGATGAAGCAAAGAAGCATCCAAGGCTAACAGCAATCATGGGCTGCCCTAGCAGATAGCATGTGAACATTCCTGCCCTTTATGGTGTTGTCTGTGTTTGTCTGTGTGTATGCTCAGACCATGTCCCTTCTGGCCCGGCTTGGTGATGGTTTCGCGCACAGCCGCATAGCTCTGTTGGGAGTCGGGCCATTGACTCCAGCTGGATGTGACACGAACGCTCGGCCACTCTCTTGAGGTGTTCTCTCTGTAAAGATTGACGCTTTTGAGAGTGCAGCAGCGCACTGCCGGCCCAAGTATACAGTGTACAGGATCCCCTGGCACAGGATACACGCAGGATCCGGGACCGTCAGAGCAAAACACATGCGGCTCGAAATTTGGCAAGCCATGGGAAGGTCCTCGAACTGACTCATTCGTTAGTCAAAAAAGGGCTGCAATAGCCCCCCTTGCGGCTAACATTCAGTCATGTCCCCTAGATGTCATTTCTGCTTCTCTCAAGTCAGAACAGCTTCGTTCCCGCGACCTGCACAGGTTGCACTGGGTAGCGAACTTTGCTGGTTTTGTCAACGAACTTGAACAAGTTTTCTTGATTGTATCAAGACATGCTTGCGCACTGGCCTAAGGCTTGAAACAAGCCAGGGGTCGCTCGACCCTTTTCCGGACCGCCCACAAAATGCATTCTCAATGATAGGCCCTTGGCATTCCTGGCGTTTGCTCGGCAAGGTGATCAGGAATGCCCGTTTGGTCGGAACAGGGTGGCATGCTCACTTCAGCTGTTCCTGTTGCTTTGCCCTCATCACGGGGTGTCCGCTTGCTTGTTGCTGCCGCGTTTCTGCACACATATAGAGCGGAAACCTTAAATTTGTTGCTGCGTTTTGTTGTCCGGATGGACAAGATGAATCACAATGTCACTAGAGTGGCAAAGTGCAATGCGTTGCTGACACAGATCAGATCAACATTGCTCTCTTGGTCTGTCTTTCAGCAGTCGATGCGCCAATGATTGGGCTGAGTCGGTGTTGCGTAGAGTTAAAACAACCAGTCAGCCAGAATGCGTGGCCTGTGTGAGTTAATTATGACAGAAGGGCTGATTCGTTGTAGTGTTTACTCGTACTAGTTCTCAGGAAAGAAGCATCCGATGAAAGTAAAGTCCGAGCCCTCTAAGTGTGTGCTGCAGCAAACACTGAATACTTTGGATGTGTCCTGTGAAGCATAAAGAGCCTGTCTGGACATGTTCACTGATGGGAGGGTATTATCCTCATACCTTGGTCCCAATGAACCCGAACGGAGGCCCCCTTACCGAGACCGTTCCGTCGCAGGTGTACTACCTCAGCCTCTTCGACGGCCGCAGCCAGTGGGAATGGCCCGGGAACCTGGACAGAGAATTACCCGGTGAAGCCTCGCGGCTACAAAAAACAACAAGCAACCATACCCTTTTTCTTGTTTGTTGTGGTGCCCAGTGTTGCCCAGCTGCCCAGTGGTTGCCCTTTTTCGTTTCTTTTTTGGGGGGAAGGGTTCCCCTTTAAAGTCAGCCAACCAAAAACGAATGCTCTTTTTTCCAATGGCCACTGGGCATCTGAGCATAAAATACACAGCTCCAGATGAAAGCGTTTTCAAGGAAAAGAAACGGTGTCCGACCTTCACACCGGAAATTGTCTCGCAAAGACCACGGCTTGCGGTCAATGCTTCTGTCCCGGAGTCCCACCTGCGTGTTGGCCTTTTCTCTCTGAGAGTTGCTGGCCTGTGACCATGACACCATTGCACTGCGCCACTCCTTTGTGTCATGTTTTTGGGCGGGGACCTTGAAGCAACACGCTGGTGGCAGGATGTTGTGGGCATCTCTGAGGTAGGTCAAAGTCATATTCTCTCTGGCCTCAATCCCAAGAATGTCTGATTGGACTTGATCGCATCCTGAGGCCACAGGAGAACGCGACCGCCTTTGAGCACCGCTTGGAGGAGGGGTGGCATGTCCGCTGCTTGAGAGCCTACGGCAATCCCGCCCAAGGGGAAAAAGGCGAGCTCGCGATGATGAAGCTCCTTTGCTCGGGTTTGAGGTTTCGGATATATATTCCTATTCAGACAACCTATGTCATACCTTGCCGAAAGTGAGCAGTCGAGGATAAGGGCAATGATCTGAGGCATAGGCTCGTCAAGTATAGGGCTGACTCGAGCACTTACTCGAGTTAGGTTTGTGAGGTATCCTAGCGCAGGTCTCTCCCTCTAAATCAATGAGTTTGGGTTGAGGGCTAAAATATTTGAAGGGGAAGCTGGTGTTTTTGATTCGCCTGGTCCAGTATGGTCATTTGGGTTGATATATATATATATATATATATTTGGTACCTTCTTCCACAGACCCTGGGTTGGTGCGGTTGACCTGTATTGTTCCAGTGTTTTATGCATTGGTTTGCTTCTTTTATCGGTGCAATATGTATATACGATATGCATGCATGCATACATATGTGATAAAAGCAATGACATCAGCATCTGCAATCTGAAAGAGTTTGAATGCATCCAAGAGTTTAGAGCAACTCATTTTTTTGTTTTGCAAGTTCTGGATTCAAGATTCAATAATCTGAGATTTGTTCTGAAAATTTTGAATCTTGAATCCCAGAGTGTTAACAAAATATATGTCCCAATACTCTTTGTGTTCAATAAGATTCTCGGAAAAGCTTTCCGCGAAACATGTCAATCTCGAATCTTGAATCCAGTGGTAAAATGCGTTCGAGTTTTAGAGCAACTTGAACATTTTTAGGGGTTGACCAAAATGGATGATCTCAAGAAAGTTGTTGTTTGTGCAATCCTCAATATTGAATCCTGAAGCCAGTGGCAAAGCACTTTCAAGTGTTAGAAGAACTTGAATTTTGTTTTGGTTTTGCCAGGATTGACAATTCTCAGGAAAGTTTTCTGTGTAATCTTCAATCTTTCATCTTCCATCCAGTGGTAAAATACTTTCAAGTGCTTGGCGATCCCGTGGAAGCACTTTCAAGTTACGTATTAGTTGGACAAACTTTCAAGTTCTTTTGGTGAGCGGTTTGGCTCATGTCGGCTATGCTCAGAGAGACGCTTTTCCAGGAGGTAAGCAAAGGTATTTGTAATGCTCAGAAACACTGTATTTTACAGTATGTTATGAAGAGGCGCAGGTTCATTAGGGGTATTATATTTTTGTGTATGTATGTGTATATATATATATATACATGTATGTTTACACAGCGTCACCCCCCCTCTTGAACTACCTGTCCACATTTGCTCATCTACTACCTCCACCGTTTGAGATAGAATGAGTTTTGTTTTCCTGTGCAAATAGAACTCTAAATGCAACTGATTTAGCTAGAATATCTGAATTTGAACCTCTCGTCCCTTAAAATTTCCTTTTGAAACACCGTCTAGCAAGTTTAGTTTCGGACCTTTCTTATGCTACAAAAGGGCCAAAATGTAAATAACACAAATCGTATTTCGAATTTCCTTGTAGAAGTCCCTTAATTGTTAAGCCATACTTAATATGAATTATATTCGAGAAGTAGTCTCCATTGATTTGTTATTATCAAAAGCTAATTGAATTGTGTATTAGAATATATGTAGCACTTAGATTATATTTGCGAATAAACTCCTATCTAACTTATTTTGTTAAAGATTAGTTGGAGTTTACCCGAAGCAATACTTACATTTCCAAGTATTGGAAAGGATTTGCTTATTTAAGCTGTAACACATTTTTGAAAACTATATCCTAAGTAAATTATATTCAAAGTTCCAATTCTAGTTGAAGTAAAATCCTATTTGGACAGGGTATCATATTGGGACATATCGGAGGACTCAAATTTGAGGCTTTGGGAACCCACAATTGGACATTTCGAGAATTTAAATCTCGATTCTAGATTTACCATCCCCAAAAGGCAGTAAAAACCAGGGCCCATGGGGGGGGAGCATATATATATATATATACATGTGTATATATATATATATAGAAATACGGGTATCGATTTTACTGTGTACACGATTTGAAGAGGGTGGAAGTGGGACCGCCACGAATCATACCCCGAAGCAAGCCTCGAATCATACCTTGAATGATACTTTCTGTGAAGCGTCCGAGTCATACCCCCTGTGAAGTGCCAACGTACACTACCACGACGATGACTACTACTAACTACTACTACTACCACCACTACCACTACCACTACCATTATCCCGACTGCCACTGCTACTGCTACTACTGCTACTGCTACTGCTACTGCTGCTGCTACTACTACTACTGCTACTACTACTGCTGCTACTACTTCTGCTACTGCTACTGCTACTGCTGCTCCTGCTGCTACTACTGCTGCTGCTACTACTACTACTGCTACCACGACTCTAAGTCTGCCACCATTCGAATCAGAGTGCCAACAAGGGTTTGGTTTCTTCTTGCGAATTATGCCTCGAATCATCACCCCGAAGCATACCCCCACCAGCAACTTCCAGGGCCGGGAATGTATTTTGAGACTGACATATATAGATATAGATATATCAATCGACCAACAGTCAAGACTCACTGCCGCCCACCACCACCAGCAGCAGAACATGAACGAGGGGCATCATCACTGTTGACGCTATCTGAACAGGTGCTCATGATTCAATCACGAAAGACAGGGGCTTGTCATAGCATCAATCCTCCTTTGCCCTTCACTCCCTTGAGCCGCTCTCCGGTGGTTTCCGGATGGTGGGGTTGGCTTTCGCACGAATTGCGGACTGGGATTAGATTTAATTTGGAACCAACCCACTGAACTGCCCTTGACCGCCCACCCATCAGCACCACTCTCACCACCACTCCCACCACCACTCCCACCACCACTCCCACCACCACTCCCACCCTGTGGGAAGACCTCAAGTTGCCTTCGGGACTTTTTTCGCTCGCGAAGGAGCTGCCAGGGCCCTCGCGGATGCTGGCCCTGCCGGGCTCCACCCAGGTGTGGCCACTTATCCGACCTATCCTTTCGAAGTGAAGTGAACAAGCAGTCACGCACTTTGCTGCAGCAGGGGAAGGGCCAAGTTGGCCCCAAGCGTTTGGGACTTAAAGCAAGCATGGCGGGAATCTTATCTATGAATCCGTTTCTTGACACCTGTGAGAGTGTCGAAATCCGAGTTGGACCCCTCTTTTCGGATGTTTGAAAGGGAGGCAGAAGGAAGCGGTTGTCAGTTGAAGAGCTCACATTCATAGGCGCATATGACTGGAACAGGTTTGTTTCAGTCCGCTCAATGTTGAACCGCTCGACTTTGGGCCATTTGAACTCCAGCCTCTTAGCGCAAAACCGAACTCAACTGTGCTTTGGCCTGGGCTTCAGTTCTGCCACGCCGCGAGGTCATCAGTTCAAGGGAGTCCCAAGTACGCAACTGGCCCCCAGCTACGAAGAGCAGCTGTCATCCGGGGAGCATCTAGCGGTTGTGTGGTCCAATTGAATTCTGATCGGCACCGGGTCCAAATCATAGAATCCTTGCTGGACCTCTGACGCAAAGATCTCTGAGTTGACCTCACCGCCCTGCCACTTCCTTTTCCCCATGATCCCAGGCGTCAAGGCTGTGGCTGGGATGACGATTTGGGGGAACCAAAAGGAAAACCACCATTGCCCCTAAATAAAGACACCCATGTTCAGTGATTTTCTTGGCAACTCCTGTCGGGGAAGGGATACTTGGCAGGCTCAGGATCAAGATCACAAATGTCTAGCTGTTAACACTGGGAACCCTCCTCCTTTGAGAACCAAGCAGGGTCTAGTTACGCATATCCACATCAAATCCCATGCAGCCATGGCCGATCGGCGCAGGAGTTCCACCATGGCAACCCGGATGATGCGTCGAGCCAAGACTCGGACGAGTCGAGCATGGGCATCGCGTTGGACGAGGCCGGGGTCCTGCGTGCAGGGAGAATTGAGGCTGGGGGAGGTGTTCCCAGGTCCCTGCTGGAAACCAGGGAACCTCCCCCAAACAAAGTATTAGTCGTTGGAAGGCCTTCCAGTATGACAGAAGTGGGCAAGTCCCACAAGGGCAGGAATGGGTTGCCCTCAAATCTGGCCGGAACTTGCTTGTAGCATGCATGATAACTGATACAATCGTGTTTTGATGTAGAAGTATTCTAAGAGTTGACCTACAGCTCCACACCGGCAGAAGGTTTGCCTTGGATCAATTCGCCCTCGCATTGCCGCGGAAGTTAAAGGTGCACGGCTGGAGATACGAACCGAATCATCGCTCGAATCCTTCTTAGGGTATCCTTTCCAGCCTGATATTCAGCCATCGGGATTGGCAAACTCGAACTTGCGGCTAATTGTGGCTCAGCGAGGGCGGGGAGTTTTGTTCTGAAATGCCACCAGATGTCGAACAAGATATGTTGTAGTTGGTTGGCACCTGGGATTCAAAACTTAAAAACAGAAAGGACGCCATGATTATGACATTTGACATTTGCTTGCCCGCTTATACGTTGAGCCTCAATTCATGAAGCGATGACGAACTTCCAGCATCCAGCATTGAACAAATGGAACGAAGACATGTTCGAGATTCTGAGCTCAAAAGCCCCGCTGCAATCCTTGAGGGTCGCAGTTCGGCAGAGTCTGATGTTTGCCATGTCTAGTCATGCGGCCACAATATTCAAGCCACAGGCTTCGGATTGAGCGGCGAAGTGTCGTTTTACGCTCTGCTCCTCTCCGTCTCTGGGGTAGAACATATACGTCAATGGCGAGTGAACACGAAGCAATCACTTGACATTCGCATTTATCCACACATTTCGTGTCCTACTCCGATGGAAGTCAGAGACTTTGGGGGCAGGAGGTTACCGAAATTCTCTGAGCGCCAGGTCCTTGGACCTATGAAACCTAAAAACAGCCCGCACATGTTTTTTTTCTTTTTTAAATAGTGGCGAGTTGTAGTTGTTCCCTATGCTTCCAAAATTTAAAAAAAAATAGTCGTTGTGACAACCCCGGTTTTTGATAAAGACTATTTTTGGATGACGAGCGGCAGCCTCCGCTTTGGACTGAAACAGGGACTAGGAAAGACTTGACGCTAAGGCAGCCTCATAGGATCCCAAAGCCGAATATGTATTTTCATATGCAGCAATATGTGTTACAATCTTCACGGCTAGTTGCTTGGATTTTTTGCTTGGTTTCTTAACATGGCCATGTAGCGCGGGAGGGTGAATCCTCTTCTGACCGTTTCTGCCCTTCTTTTGCCCCACCTTCTTAGCCAAACGAAACAAAACGGGACAGCAAAAATATTTACCCTTCACAGCAACCATTCCAGGATGAGAATGTTGATCTTCTGGGTCCCCTGGCAAAATTTGCCCGTTCTACGCCAAACAATAGTGGTTCTACGCCAAAAAATAGTGGTTCTACGCCAAAAAATAGTGGTTCTACGCCAAGAAATGGTGCTTCTACGGTTTTTCTACGCTTTGTCTACGGTTTGTCTACGCTCACGTCGTTTTTGGAGCTGTGTGAAAATTGGAGCGGAAAAAAACTAGCACAAAATTGCTTGTTGTTCGTGCCACCTGCGGAAATTGCAGAGGACAATTCTAGAATTTGCTAGAATGAAGGCTCCGTCTACGCAAGACTTTCAGCAGGTGCATTGCGCAAACACGAAAGGGCGCCGAGGACCTATCAATAAATAGTAATCTACTGGCTCCCAAGGCTTCTTAAGAGGTTGCAATAGCAGGCGTAATTTCGATAAAAAGCAAAGTAACAACCCAAAATGGACCCCAAAGGCCAATGTCAAAAAATAGGGGTTGTCAATGCAAAAAATAGGGGTTGAACAACCCCTATTTAAAAAAATAGTCGAGGAAGCATAGGGTGGTGTTGTTTGTCTCAAGTTTGGCTTTTAATGTGGAATCATCTCCCATTACAGAGCCCATTTTTCAGGAACAGGCACGTAGATGAGAACAAACCAGTCTGGTTTGGCATTTGACCCCCCCCTACACACCCACAAACACAGGAGTTGGCATATTCGCTTCTGACACTCGTTAGGTCCGGCGAGTTTTCGGGCGAAGTGATGTTTGAAGTGTAGGGATAGCATCCCTTCGGATTGCTGTCAGCACAAAGAGAGAGTTGCTTCCCCTCCCCAGTAAGATGTCTCGTGACAAACATCTCAAGTCCCCCCGAAGCTGAAAATGCAACACATACTGACAGAAAAATGATTTCAATGCAGGGTATCCATGTTTGGGTTGTGGGAGACCGATTGTCCATTGGGTTGTTAGAAGGGACACCTAAGAAGAGGGTTGGTCCCATATCCCATGTGGAATCCTCAACTGGTTTTCCTGAATTCACAGCTTTCAATTCAGGTTTCCTCGAACCCGCGCCATTCGTGCTTTGGTATTTTTAAGGCAAACCAAGAGGATACCATTTGGGGGGACCGATTCCAATGAAAGAAATCCATTTGAGGGGACCGATTCCTCGCCCCGAGGTGGATGCGAACGAGTTGCTGGCGGTGCCTCCGGGCACGGAGAACGTGGAGATGACGCCACGGGAGCGAACTTTCGGGATGGATGTGACTAGGGTGTGTCGCTTGTTTGACTTGGAGCCAATTTTCGGTTGCCATTCATGGAAAGCAAGGGGAAACCGCTGGTTTGGGGCTTCACGTGTGCGGCGTGTGAAGGAACCCCTTGAGAATACTTGGGGTTGGACTCTGTGGACACGCAGCGCCGGGGGGCCGGGCGATCGTTGTGATCTTTCGGACTGCCGAACAATCGGGGCCTCTCAGTATCCAGCAGATCCAAGTTTGCCAACATGCGAAGCTGCCCTCGCAAACAGACACATTTGCGCGATGGTGCAGCATGTGCGTCTTGACATCCTAAAACTTGCCGTGAAAGTTGAGAACCTGGGCTTGCCCGCAGGAGACGCAAGTGCGCCACTTCCCACATGCGCAGCTGCCAGTCCATGCGCTGCTATGTGTCAAGGTTTTGCCTGAAGACCTCAGCATAACACCGCGTGAGGATCGTAACTTCAGAGAGTTTGGCGGAATGGTTGGTCAGGCGGCGAGAGATGCCAATAGTGCTAATGATATCTTTGAAGAGTTTTGCAGGCTACACCATGCCCAGGTGCTCGCAAACAAACACAAACACACACACACACACACACACATCAACGCCGTAGCAGGTGCAGCTTAATGTGGGAAAACTTGGTGTCAAAGTCCAGAAAAGTGCCGCTGGGCCAGTGCTGACCATCGCACGGAAAGTGCCAGCTTGTCGAAAGCGGGAACGAAGTAAGGCATCTAGCACAACGCAGGCAGCCAAATCGTTTTTGCGGCACAGGCACGGGCACGTGGAGATCTGGCTCAGACGTTTTCAAAAAACACGTTCTGACCATAAGGGCTGATGAACCTGCCAATTGCGGTCCATCCGCCGGACGCAACAGTCATCCCGCAACCGGTTGGCCTCAGGTAGCTCTTTGGGTAAAACCGCACATGCCGTGGCCGTCGCCGGCGGGTTGGAAAACGAACAAAAGGAGTTTGGACCATGGCGTTTGCAACGAGAAAGGGCACCTTTCTTTGCACGCTTGTACGAGCCCAATTGACAGCACTGGGGTCTGACACAAAAGCAATTTATCTTGTACAGGTGTTCTATTTATGTTTATTTACACATGGGCCATTGATGTATGTGTGTATACCCTTCTCCTCGATATGATCATATATATATATATATATATAGACATGATCTATACCATGCGTGTGTGTGTGTGATAAAGTAGATCTTCGCTACCGTTATGTTGCAATTGCATTTTGGCACGGTTCACCAGTTTCTTGGGCATGTAGAACACGTTGAGGCGTTCTCAGCACTCTGGGGTTGTTTTTGTAGTTTTAACTCATACGGGGTTCACAAAACAAATTGTGTGTGCCTTGCCCAGTTGCTCACTGGCGGTGGGTTGTTCTTTTGTCTCGACGATGTGTCCGTGGGGTGTTTGCAACTTGCGTATACACTTTCCCACAAGGGTATCAGGTCTTGCGAAGTTGTTGGAATGAATAGGGCTGCTCTGCGTTCAAAGTCTGCGGAACCGCTTAATTAAATTGCACGAGTCCCCGAGCTTGCTGACCAGTCCTCAAGAGTGGACTTCTTCGTAGCTTGCGAATCCCACAGTGCCTGATCATTTGATCCCTGTGGCAACATATGAAGTTCTGACGCTCATATACATGAGCATGTGAGAACAGGATAAATGATGTTTGGCTACGAGGCATATCCAACAATTGGTGTCAAGGCGTGCTGCCCAGACAAGCTCACAACTCAAGTTTTGTGCAGAAACCTATCGGGGACGCTTCTGGTTTTGGGGACGAATTTGTCGGGTTCGACTGGGAAACCCAGCTGTCGGGTTTCCCTTTACTGTCATTTGCCCTTGGGCCTTGCGCAAAACGGGTTTGGCGCTTCTGGTTTTGGGGACGAATTTGTCGGGTTCGACTGGGAAACCCAGCTGTCGGGTTTCCCCTTACTGTCATTTGCCCTTGGGCCTTGCGCAAAACTGGTTTGGCGCTTCTGGTTTTGGGGACGAATTTGTCGGGTTCGACTGGGAAACCCGGCTGTCGGGTTTCCCTTTACTGTCATTTGCCCTTGGGCCTTCCGCAAAACGGGCTTGTATTTTTTTTTCGGGTTCCTTTTAGGGAAAAGGTGGTTTTAAAAGGAAACCAAAGGGAACACCTTTTTGTTTGGCCGGGGATCAGCTGGTCGGACGCCAGGAGGAGGGGCAGGAGCTTGCAAAGTGGGGGCACTCGGCTGCCGAGTTGGATGATCGTCTTTTTAAGACCCGCCTAAAAGACGGGTACCCGTTGATCAAGTCATATGCTGAGCCCATGTGTTTGCGAAGACGTTTTCAGGGTTATCAAAGTCAGACTTTTCCCTTGAAACTACTGATGGACAACATCAATTTCCCACCAGATGGAATAGATGAAAGCGCAAAACCTGGTAACCGGTGCAGGATTTTGTCCATCCACAGTACCACTTGGGCGGTGGGGCCAGACCAAACCGGACAATTGCTGCTTAAACCAGTCAGGAGCATGGTAGAGTTTTCGGAGGGTTCCTGAAGTTGTTCAGCCTGACCCGGGTAGTGATTTTTGCCATTTTCAAGAGAGAGCCCAGCCGCAGCTGAAACAATCGCCTTGTTTGTTTTCTCATGGGGTCCACCAAAAATCAGTGCGATAGTAGTTGGCTTTCTTTGCATTTCCATTCGAGCACATCGATTCTTTGCTGGTGGGCTACCCATGTTGAGAACCATCCTTTTATTTTCGGTCCCACGGTGAAGGCGTATCTAAGGCTGGGCTTTGAAAAGGTCTCCAAAGGGCGTCACGGCTACTTTGCCTTTTCCCCGGCACCTGTCACCTGCCTTGGTACCTTTCTTCAACCCAGACGTCGTTGGAAGGGTTTCCCTTACAGGGGTCCCTCAATTTCCCATGTTTCACCTCCAAAAAAGTGGCTTCACCAAAAAAAAGCCGGTCATTTGCAACTGTTAAGGGGGAAATCCAATGACCCCTGTTTTAAAACTAGGTCCCCCAGTAGTGCCCTTTTACCCTTTTTTTGGGGAGGGTTCCCCTACTAAAATAGACTACAGAAGAAAGGGAACCCTTGTTCTATCCTCTCTACTGGAGGACCTATAAAAGCAACTTAACATGCCTTTTGCCCCCGTGGAAATCCTTGAAAGGAACTGGGCCAGGGTCCGTGTTTTCTTCCCGCGCGCAGGTGGGGCGCGGACAAGCGCGACGAGGAGTGGATCTCGTTGAAGAGGTGCGGAGCTATGCGTCTCAGGGATTGCATGTTTCCTTCAAGGACCAAGCATGCGGCTTCAGGGTTTCGATCCTCATGGCCATTAAAAAAACATTTCAGTGTGTTTTTTTGTTTTTGTTTTCTGTTTTTTTTTTTGTTTTTTTTTGTGTGTATGCCTCATCAAACATTGCAGCTTCATGGTTTCGAAAAGGTGAGGCATTGCAGTTGTATGGCCATTGAACGTGGACATGGCGGAATGTTTGGAAAATCAAAGACTCTTAAAGACCCCCGCAACTGATCGAATGGTTGGCTCATCCGTCTTCAGACCTCCCAATTTTTGGTTTTCTTGGGTGTCATCTTGACTGCCAGAAGCCCACGCGCCAGAGGTTTCATTGTTCCAGTCCCTTAGTCCGTCCCAAAAGCTTGCCTAAAAGGCAAAAGGGCATTTTCAGCGGCGTCAGCAGCAGCACACAGCTGCGGCGGTAGCAACTGCAACCACAGAAGGTCTTCTCAGCCAAGTATCCCCCGAGAGGGTGAAACGCGCACCACAGAGAGGGAGAGATGCGCATGCACATCGTGCGAGGCAGATGGCCAGCCAAAAGAAAGCGCACGACGAGCGTGGGCGGCCTCGGCTGACGTGTTGAATCGGAGATCCCCTTTTTGGATGGGAAACGGGCACTGGCTCGTGTCTGTGGAAGGGGATGTCCTTTGACGATGCCAAAGCAATTGATCTCTGAACCACATCTTGCCATTGGTTGATTAGCAGCAGGCCTAGCATTGCTCAACAGTATTAGCATTTTGCTTTGCTGTAGGCTGTAGGCAAGCTTGGAAGGCGCTCTTTTCCCGACCTTGCATTTCAAGATGTACGTAGGGCCTGTACAGTCAGCTTGTTTTTTTTTTTTTTTCTCATGACCAATCCACGGGTAGAAACTTGATCGTTGGCCGTGCTTCCCTTTCCAGGGACGACGTTTCTATGTGCCAGGGATTTCGGAGCAACCCTGACAGAGCATTCTATGGAAGCCTGCACAGCGCCAGCGAAAGGCAGTCAGCTGGGGTGGGTTCCTTTCGGTGTCGAAGCATCCGGAGAACAAGCTTACCTATCCTTACCTCTTAAAAAAAAACACAACTTTTCAACTTTTTGGGTAACATGGGCTTTATGTCTGTAAAAGATTAACTTCCCCAGGGCTTGGAGTTTTAAGGGTTAAGTATCTTTGGAACCACCACGTTTGGAATCCAAGATGTCCCAGCAACGGCTCAAGGTGTCTCTGAGCCCGATGGCCATTCACGGTTCAACTTTGCAAAAACAGATGTCGCCGGCCTGGCTTGAAATTTTCACCCGACAGCTATTTGTTTGATGATGCGGAGTGCCACAAGACAATGATGTACTGACCTTGTGTCTCCCTGGCTTCGCAAAGAGCTCTTGTAGCTGCAGTGAATTCAATCTTGCCCACCCCCTGGCAACACCCAGCTTAGTTTTACCAGATACCAGGGTTCAATGTTGACCCGAAGTGGCCATAGGCGATCATATTTCAAGCGTCTGCGTTCTGTTTTGTGAGGCCCTTCCAGAAAAAAGCGACTCCTGCGAGTACTGCGAAAGCTGGATAGTAGTAGTGGTGCACGCCACCACCCATGTGATTCGTGGATGATGCTCGTAATTGAGCGGAGAGAGCTGGAAAATGTCCGACTCATTCTCAGTCAAACGCTTTTCATGGTTCCCCAAAACATGGCCGGGGCTGATCCCGGCTTGGGCATTCGCCTTACTAAGACGTGACTAACTTTGCCTCCCTTAAACCCATCCATTTGAACCACGTTGAGTTGACCTGAGCTGAGACTATTACCACTGGGTTACAGTCGATTTGGAGCCGTAGGGATGTGCCCAGTTGAACCACACAACTGTATGTGAGACCCTCAAATACCAGCTCAAAACCACATTCTCCCCAACCACCTCTTCTTTCAAAACGCTCTGTGTTGGTGGCGTAGGTTTGAGGTCATCTTAGTCATCTTGCTCTTGGGTTCCACCTTGAACCACGTCTTTGGACTTCCAAAAGCGCGGCTCACTACCAGAGTCGCCCTCTCTTAGGCTGGCTCACTGCCCGGCACTTCCCGGGAGTTCGGGAGTTTGCGCGAACCCCAGCGGGGCAGCTGGTGAGAAGCCGCTTCTCCTTGGGAAGGCAACCTCGTTAAGCTGATCAACGGAATCCTGCTGGACATGATTTGTTTACATTTGAAGAAACGCTCGAAGTTCAAACCCGAAGCATACCCCGAAGCTTACCCACAGCCCACTACAGTACTATTGCAAGACCTAGAGCCGTGCTTGTGTCAATGGCCACTGGCGCGTACGTGCATGGTCAAAAAGCAAGCTTGCTAATCTGATGAATGCTGGTGATGAGTTCAACATGGTTTCCGTGGTCACCATTTTGTCAGTTTGGGTCCAAGCGGGATGGCTGAGAAGCCAAGCACCTTGCCCCGAAATATATCTATATCAGTCTGACAAGTTGAACACTAGCCAAGTTGTTCTCAAGGTGCAAGGCCATGTTCAACGAACAATGGCTGGAAAACATAACTGACAACAGCTATCGTAGCCATGGCCGCGTACAAGGCTGGGATGGTCTCCAGTTCCTGTATGCTTGTTTCGGTTTTGAACATGAGCCACAATCAAAACCCGGGTAGATGAAGGTTAGTAAGGGCCAATCCCAGCCATAGATAGCTGCGGCCGCCTTCTTAATTCTTTACATGGTTCTGGGTTCACCATTTTAATACCGGGTTTTGATTGTGGCTCACCTTGTTGTTTGCCAATTGTTTAGGTGAGTTTCCTTGCTCGGTGCTGACTCATGGAATGGGGAATCCTGAGCTTCCTGACCTAGTTGACACCAGAACGGCTCAGGGGAACACATGAGTCTTTGTTTCACCAGCATGTGGCCCCTTTTCCATGGCAAATCCAGTGATTACGATATGAACTTGGCAGTCGCGGGTCAAAACAGCCAACCCCCTCAGAGTGGTTGTTTCATGATGGTTTGCTTTGCTATCTGCGACCGCTGCATGTTTTCAACCTTGCTGCATGCCTCGCTTGAGATGCCTCACTTCATGTCTCCAAGGACAAAGGCGCACTGCGATAGGAGTGAAAAAATCCCATTAGGCAATTGGAATGGTCGGCGGTTGCGAAGATATGTGCCAGCCATGATGGGCCATCCATGCCAATTGATCAGTGTTTTTGAAGTTTGTGGTCGTCAGCGAGTTTCATAAATTGCATGCTGCCTCCACCTTGGTGCCATGCCTCGAAGTTTGTGTCCGGGCGAGATTGTGGCACGCAGGATTCTGTGGAATCTGTGGAAAACGGGCATAGCGGCATAGCTACCCTTTTTCCGGTAGAATTGGTGGAAAACGGTGGAGGTGTGGCAGGATTCCTGCCCCTGCCAAGCTGGACTGTTGTGATGATTCCTAAGCTTCACGAATGGGTACGCTTACAAAGCGGGCTTGTGTAAGACAGGGCAGATGTGGTTCCTTCCTGTGTTTGCGGCCCGGGGGGGGGGGGGAAAACATGAGGAGCCCCACAATGCACACACAACATCCACGATGGATTAGCTCCTTTGGCAAGCGGTGGCAGCTTCCGTGTTTCTCCTCAAGTCATGTAGCCTGAGGGCCAGCAACGCCATGTGGTATGATTGGCTTTTTGGTTGTTTGTTTGAACATTGTTGGGTATTGATTACAAATCAAACAAGCGGTTTCCAAGCCTTGCTACAGTTACAGCCAGCCCCTGAGGGTTGCCTGCGCCCCAAAGCAACGCCCCAACGCCCGAACCTAAAGACCTAAGCCGCCTGAAGCACTTGCCGTCTTCGTCACCACGTGCTTGAATTAGGCATGATCAGGCTTCGGCTCATGCAGACAAGCGCAGCTCGGCTCGTCGAAAGACAGAGACGGAGGCTGCTTAATGCGCCATTTGGACAAAGCTAGCCGATACTTCTTGGGAGCTTCTCAGACACGCACCAGCAGCTGGCCTGCAGAGTGGCATGCAATTGACCTAGACCCTGAACTTAAACCGGTGCAATGGGGGAGCGAGATCGCGGGGGAAACCGCGGTCGCCGCGGCACGGCTACCGCCCACTTGCAAGGAGGCGCTCGCGCACGCCGTCGTGGTGTGCGGGGGGCGACCCCCGTTACTTCGCCCCTGGCTGGGGGCCGCTCTGTGTATGCTGGGGCTGGTTGTGCCTCGGGGCGGTATTGGGGGCCTGTGCGGTCCTCCTCATCTTGCTCGCGCACCAAGTTGGAAGGCGGCCGGCCGAGAGCCCAGCGTGTGAACTTGAGATCTAAACCGAAACCCCAAACCTAAACCCTAAGGGTAGGCCCTAAACACCCAAAACCTGAGCCCCAAACCTGAACCCTAAGCTCAAACCCTAAAGCCTAAACCCTGAACCAAAACCCTGATCAGGACAAGGATGGATTAGGGGTGACGGCAACCCTCGGAGGCTGAGGGTACAGTTAGATACAGATGTGCTTGGAAATAATGACTCGTTGTAGTGCGGTTGTTTCAGCACTTGGCTAAGTTGAACCAATCGTGGGTGCGGCTGAGCTTGGCACGTTACCGTAATTTGATGCTCAGGCAACCCAAGCTCTGAATTCGCATCTGGGTTGCCGGCCGGAGCTTACGGCGTTTGTGCCAGCTTGCCCCTTAAGATCGTTTAGTCTGCTGGCTCGGACGCCTCTCATGTTCACAACGCCTCTTCGGGGGGAAGCTTGAAGACACGCAAGGCATGCTGCTGGGAGAGTAGCCTAGGCTGGCCAGTCTGGCCTAGCTGCAAGGAGCCTTTTCCCGACACCGCGCAGCGCTTCAAAGATCATCAAAGGGTATTTGCCGGAAGACGCCTGCGCGTTGAGCCGCGACTACGCGCAGCTTCGATACTCAAGGCTTCTCCCCGCAAAGGCAAGAAACGATAAATGCGCGCTCCTTCTCCTCATGTTTTGTTTGTGGCAATGCCCTGCCAGAGAAAAGCTAGCCGTGGAGAGAATACGTAGTGGCTCGCAGCAGTTTGCGCCAGCGTGTTCTCGGCTGTCAATCGCGTGGTGCTCATAATATTCCAAAAGCGACCACCATGAGCACGGGCTTTTAGGTGCGGAAGCACGAGCTGGCCAACCAGGTGAACAACTGGGACCGGCCGCAGCCCCAAGTGATGTATTGTGGGTTTCGAAAGCGGCGGATTTAAGGAAGCCAGGCCCGTCATGTGAATCGAACTCATGCAACAACAGCGGTTTTTTGTGCAAGCGCGGCCTGGATTGTTCGCCCGCCTGGCAGGGCTGTCGACAACGTCACGCTGAAGATTGACAACGCGGCACGGCAGCGGAGCACGCAGGGTGGCCTAGACCTGTGAGTCCTCACCTGAAACAGCCTGGCGTGTGTTTGGGTTGGGCCGAGGAACGCATGCGTTTTTGCAGAAGTGTCCTGCTGCTCGCCAAGGCTAGGCAATGTTGCGGAGCTGCGCAAGGAGGAGTTTGCGAGTTTTTTTGGCGCATTTTGCAGCGGACTTGTTTTGTAATTGCTCTTGCCAACAAAGTATCTTGCGCAAACAATTGGCCAATTGTCCTTGCCGCCAAGTGTTTAGCCACCGCCGAAGCGCGGTACCGCTCCGCCCCATGCAAGACCAACATGAGACCAAGGCCAGCTCATTTAAAGTGTTTTACTTATCAGCGTTTTTTCTTCCACATTTCACATAGTTGATTTGTTATCGCCCGTCATCATCGCAGAAAACGATGTGTGACACGCACCGGCACAGCCGAGTTTATGTCCAGCGTTTTCTGCGGGAAAGTCCCCTTGCCAGCTAACGATTCTAGCGGCCACGCAACGGCGTGCTGGCAACATGATTTGATGATTGCCGAACCTGCACTGGAAACCCAAATCTAGCTCTGCACTTTAAGGTTGAAGAGCGGGAAGTACATGACGCCCCACAATTCAATTACATGTGTCGTTCCCAATGGTTCATTGCCAACCCGAAACATGCCATTCCAGGCGTGATCTATTCCCAAGGGTCTGGCGAGGAGTTGCGCAGCATTTTCCCTATCATCCAGCGGCTTCAGTGGACCAAGTGGACAGGCGCGTCGGCAGTTTGCCAGGCAGATCTTGTCCAACCGGTTCCTCAGACCCCAGCAAAATGGCGACCAGAAAATCTGGCAGTCGAAGACCCAATCCGTGGTGGTTTCCAAGGATCGCAAATTCTAGCAACTGCACGATTCCAGCCGGAACTTCAGCTTTTCCCGGCCCAGCCATCCCTGCTGGAACCAGCCCGTGGGTCTCGGAAAGCCCTTTTGGTTTGTTTAAACGGAGGCCAAAGGGAAACCAACTATTTGGATATCTTTTTGAGACAAACCCGCAAGGAAGGGGGTTGAGTTTTCAGGTTCTAGCACTTGCATGGGAATGGACCTGCGTCGATGCAGACTGGCCCAACAGTACAAGAAGGGTGTTGCAAAACTTAGCGAATGGGATTATCCACATATGGCTTCAAAGATATGATAGCCTGTGCCTTTGTTTCAGGTGAGATCCCCACGACGGTCAAACTAGGTTTCAAGCAATATCTCCACAGCCCAAAAGTATGAGTTCAATCATTTATGTATAATGCTAATCAGTTCGTATGGGCACATGTCCATCGTTGGTTTGATTACTCCAATTTACTGTCAACTCAGCCTGGCGAATCAGCCAAGGGCTCAATTGCATTTCTCCTTTTTTTCGCTGGTCCACGTCCAGCGTATGCAGGCATGGAGCTCTTTCTGCAGTGTGTGATCCGGGAGTATCCCTTGCAGGCGCTTCCAGCGGGTCTGGCTAGATTTTGCTGTATCACTTTCTCACATAGGATGACAGCAATGATCAGGCCAAGTGTAAACCAGCTGCAGAACCTGTTTTCGGATTGTGGCCGGGCGACGGTCAAAACTAGATGGTTGCTTTGCTCGAATGTCCTTCTGGGACCCAACCTGGGTAATTTTTGAGGGACCAACTTGGTGTTTTCCTCCTTGGAAGGCTCCGGGAAATGTTATGGCGTTCCCCCTTTTCTCCGGGGTTTCTTCCTGTGAGAACATGGCCAAGGACCAGGAAGTGTTGCAACTTGCCAAGAACGACTGAGTTCTTGCTTGCCAGGACAG